AGATATTTGATGTTGGCACTGTTTTGTTTTCACTGTTGCCATCATTTATGGCAATCTGAACACAAGAATTGTTGACAGTGTCCAATAAACAAGCTCAAAAGAAAAGCATAACAATGTTTCATTTGCTTTACAAATCTATAAGACTATAAGAAATTATTTTAAAATACAATATTTACTTTTTTTCAAAGACAATGTGGTTTAGTATGTGTACCTTATGGCTTATCAGAACAGCTGCATCTAATTTTCTACAAAATCATTCAGGATTACAATGATGTACAGCCTAATTATATAAAGCCATATAATAATGATCTCAATTAAAGTGTAGAGGAAGATTACCCCTGATCAGGGCTGACATTATTATTCTGTCAAAAACCAATTACCGGTACTAAATTATTAATTTTTTTCCAAAACATTATGCAAGGCAAGTTTTGGGTACCAGTAATCTAAACTGCCACAACAAGATGTCAGCAAGGCTAGCAAAATGCTTTTATCAATCAAATACACTTTTCCTCTTGCACTACTACTAGGCTTAGGATAATTTGAAACAGCTTTTTAATTGTACAAAATTTATAACGAACATTGCATACATTAATAACTGACAAGAAGGTCATCTATTAAACTATTACAATATTTTTTACTTTTTAGTCCTGACTAAATGTATCACTCGATTGCTCAATTTCAATACATATGACGTGATTATCAACCTACTTACATGTACTATACATTGAGGGACCAAGGTGACTAATATAAGTAAGACAGACAAGACACACTGTTGAGTGTTGGGACGGAAAAACATGGTCCTGTAGATTAAAACACTGCCTGTCATTAGGGCTGGCAATCGATACTGGTTTCAAGTATCGATTATCGCTGACAATCTGCCGATCAATAATCGATAATATCAGCGAATTATTTTTACTTAAAATTTGAATATTAATAACGAATCATATGCCAGTTTATGCTGTAATATCATTATGTATACATGTAGAATTCCTTTCATAGATTTGATAATAAAATAATAGCAATTTCCTTTTTGAAACAGATTCCGCATCCTGTTCACTGTACCAGTTTATTTCTCGTAGTTATTCTGATCTCTCATGCGCACAAAACGTCTTGTATAGTGGCTTAATTCATGTAAGCTTAATAAATATTACATTTGACTGGCCGACTGAGATTTAGGCACATAGCACACGCAAGAAATAAGAGTAAAAGAAAGGGCACAACTCTGAATGTTATGTAAAACTATTTGTTCTCACCACATTTCTTAGTGGTGGCGTCTCCTGTGAAAAACCAAATGACTTTTCTGTTTACAGTTACCGAGCTAGGCCCAAGCGCATATTGCAAAGAATACTGTGATAAGGATTATCTTTTATACATGCATATGTCTTCTTCAGGCATTCATGTAAAAAGGAGCGCGATCGCTCTCGCTCTCTTGGACACGCCTGGATGTCAGTCAAGGTACGCTTTTTATAGCTCGCCTCAATGTCTAAATTGACTGCCCTCAAACTCAAAGAAAATAATCAGAAAAATATACCAGTAGGCCTAATGAAAAATACTGTCAATATCGACAATCAACTTGCCTGTCGGCTACAATAACGGTCATACCCAGTAAGTTTCCTTTGTAAAAATAAGCAACGTGGCGAATGAAGACATCTTGCTTGGCATGGATTGTGAATCTTGGGATTCGCGCCGTCTTCGATGCTCGATACGGAGAAATTCCAGGTAGATATTAAAATAATAATTGGATCATATTTTATGGTTTCACTGATCAGTTAGTTAAATTTAAATAGTCATTGAATAATCCCTGATAGAACAACGGACATCCTGAGAAACAGACATTAATAATATATTTTTCCTCAGGATCTCCAATGCTTTCCGATTCCCAATAACATGTGACATGCATCGGTTGGAATTAGGTCAATAAACAAGCATTGCTACATTTAGTTTTAAATATCGTTTTAGTTTTATTCTTTTTTATTTGATACACATGCTGACAGGGAGTTATTTTTTAAAATATTGTCCTTATTATTTAAGGCTATGGCATAGTCGTACGGAATTTTATTTTATATAAAGCAATTTCAATTATGGTTGTCAAGTGAACATTGTGCCGCTTGTCAATCATCCATGAATGAATAAAAAGTTTGTAAGTTACGTGATAGACAAAAACAATAATTTGTGTTTTAAATATGAAGAAATACCATGGTGTCGGTATCAGCTTATTTTAGCAACTGCATTTTCTGATACTGGCCATAGTAGAAAAATTGAATTAAACAAAAACATTTTGTTCAGGAATATTACTGACTTGAACTTTAAGTCATATACATGTATTAGTCTATTCAGAATACAATATTCTCCATAACAAATTACAAAAATTATTTTTTGTTGATGTGTGGTTATAATTACCCAATTTCCTACTGGGACATCATTTTTCGACACCTTTTGATACCAAAGTGACAGAGAAAATCCTTCCCCAGAAGAAATTAAGAATGCTATAGCTATAGAAAATTTCGCTTCTACCCTGAAACCACTTTATTTATTTGCCAATTAGTAAACAATAGACTACAAACACACAGGCTACTTTAAGATCAGGCGCTCTCACAATTATTCAGTTAGTTTGTATGTGTTTTTTTTTTATCTTGTGGCACATTTTATATGTGTATAGGGGACATGTCAAATGCATCTAAATCAACCATGTATATATATGACTTCAATGAAGCAGACGACAAATTTATGACGTAATTCGCATACCAACGTTGTTTTTATGACGTTAAAGAGCGTCGTAGTTTCAGTTTATGGTAAACTTTACCAGTCACAATGTGCTTAGACTTATACTTGACTTGTGCTTACGTAAGAATGGTCTTGAGAATTTTCTTACGTAAGAAAAAGTGAAGCACGACTTTGTGCTTACTTTAAGAATTTTCTAGGAACCGGGCCCTGTTTCCACTTCAAAAAGATGGCTGACCGTAGAGTTATTCGACGGCATTTCCGACACCTTTTTATACCAAAGAAAGAGACAATTACAAGACAGAGAAAATCCTTCTCCAGAAGAAATTATGAATACTATAGAAAATTTCTCTTCTACCCTGAAACCATTTTAATTATTTGCCAATTAGTAAACAATAGGCTACAAACACACAGGGTCAGGCGCTCTCACAATTATTCAGTTAGTCTATATGTGTCTGCGCTTTTTTATCTTGTGGCACATTATATATGTGTATAGGGGACATGTCAAATGCATCTAAATTCAACCATATATATAAGAGGTTAATGAAACAGACAACAAATTTATGACGTAATTCGCATACCAAAGTTGTTTTTGTGACGTTAAAGAGCATCCTAGTCTCAGTTTATGGTAAACTTTACCAATCACAATGTGCTTAGACCGCTTAGACTTATACTTGACTTGTGCTTACGTAAGAATGGTCTTGAGAATTTCCTAGGGACGGTATTTTTACAAGTTTCTTTCGTAAGAAAAAGTGAAGCATGACTTTGTGCTTACTTTAAGAATTTTCTAGGAACCGGGCCCAGGTCTCGAAATGTTTTAAAAAAGCTACCTGTCGCTTCAGTAAATAACCTGTCACTCTCAATTATCAATGACCAATCATATCCATACATGTAGGTACACACACACATACTCTTAAATTGTTTAGGTCTTGACCTACATTGCTCCATATTAATATCGTAATATGAAACCTTTTTATTTCGACATCGGAATGCCTATTAAAGTTCTTGAAAGTCGGTGAACCTGCTTTGGCTCAGCGACTCGAAAATTCAGACAATTCTATCATCCGTATCCACGTGAATTCCGCCAAGTATCATGGTACCAAACTTGTGTACTAAATAAAATACTTCGCCGTTGAGGTGTAGAATTCAGATTTTAAAATATCCATTATGTCGATGGTTCAGACAGTACATGTATCGCGTTTTAGACCATCGGGACGAAACTGACAGTCAAATTATGAACATACTGCCGATCCGACTTAGGCAAAGGAAAAAAGACGGAATTAGATCAAATGGACCAAACATTTTGATCCGAGTTGAGCAAAGATTCAACTTAGGAAATCCGACTGGCTCTATTTCAGTATCGCACCTCTACCAGTTCCCGGGGTCGTAGAGACTTGAAATTTTCAGGGGATGTTCAGGTGGGCTAGCAATGGCCTCACACCAAATTTCAGCCGAATCGGTCAATAACTTTTTATTTTACCTTAGTTTAGTTTCTATAAGAGATAAGTTTATCCGATTTTGACGCCATTTTGTTTGTTGACTATTTAGGCTCGAATGACGTCATATGTGGATTGTGGGTTAGGATAAGGGTTAGGATAAGGGTTATGGTAAGGGCTAGGACCTGTAGATTTCGTCATAGTCTCAAGATGTAGACAGGACTAGCCCTAACCCTAACCCTGTCTTGTTATTCGAGTCTAAATAGCCAACAAACAAAATGGCGTCAAAATCAGATAAACTTTCTCTCGTATAAGCTAAACTACAGTAAAGTAAAAAGTTATTGACAGATTCGGCTGAAATTTGGTGTGAGGGCATGGCTAGGCCCCAAGAATACCCCCTGATAATTTCAAGTCTCTATGATCATGGGAACTGGTAGAGGTGCGATACTGAAATAGAGCCATCCGACTTGCGTGCAGAAATTTAACAACAAAAACGTGCAGGATCAAAGGGTCCAAACGATTTTATCCAAGTTTAGCGAGGTCGGACTTATAAGAATCCGACTTATGCGAGGTTTACTGTAATACAACTTGTTTTTGGTGATCATCATCTCAGACTTGTTTAAAATTAAACACCACGAACAACAAGTTGAACAACACGTCAACACCTCACCACTGTCCCTTGCCTTAGTTAGGGCTTACTGGATGAAATACCCCATAACGAAACTAAAATATCATGACATCTTTTTAATATTTAAAGGGTAAATCTAGCAAAATACAACTTAGGAAAGATGGAAGTAAATGATTATTCTCTGGAAGTAAAACTAAAAGTAAAGGTATATTTACCTCCAGTTTGGCATTGCATTGAAAAACAGTCTGTGCTTTGTGACATAACTGTGCAAACGCTGCACTCAGGGCCGTCATTTTCTGACGCCCTTCAAATGTAAGTTCACATTGATCTGGATCAATTTCTCCCAAAAGGAGATCTAAATCGACAAAAGCTTTGTCAAATTCTTTCTCTAAAATTTCTAGCCAACGAAACGACAGCGTGGCAGCCATATTTATTACGTCTGCTAGAAATACCGATAACCGCTTAGTTTCGTATTTTCGTTGGAAGAAGAACATGTTAATTTAGTATTTAAGACAATTAAAGTATGTCACTTTCATAATTATACCCATCTCCCTGTGCGCTTCCATTGCTTAATTGTCGCTTAATTTAATTACTGCATTTAAAATTTATATAAATACTGCAACATTGTTGCTTATTTTGTATCAAGTTGTGGCAATGCATGCTGTATAACGGGTTCAATAACGGTAAAGCGACTGTATAGATTCCGTTACAACTAAAGTGGGAACTCTTTCACAGTTTGATACTATTTTAAAGTTTAATATCGGGGTTAAAATTCATTGAGATTTTTTGAATATAATAAAAGTAAATGAATTTTAAAGTCTTGCCATACAACCTACCATTACGGTGGCAGTGAAACCCTTATTTAAAGGCAGGAGCGTAATTTGCAGACGACAAATTTAATACGGGCCAATCAGAATGAAGTAGTATCTTGACGTTCGGGGATTTCGCCAAAGTTCTCACAGTCGCGATCATGACACTGGTATAGAAGCACGATGAAACGTTTTTGTGTTTTAATACAATTTCTATCAGTGTTAAATTTAGGACTTTGTTTTACAAATGAGGATATTATCATCAGTACCTGTATGAAGCAATGTGACACAGCATTGGTAAGTTGTATTTTTAATACCAATTTTAACTCTTTTTTTTCTCTCCTTTTTTACGTTTTTTCTAGTTAGTATTTTCTAATAAATTCGCTTGTTAAAAATAAGAACTAATATATAGGCCTATATTTATTTTTTAAACATGACAAGCTTTCCATAATTCAATTGCATTTCATCATTTAATAAAAAAAACCAAAAAAAAAACCCCAGTCCCCTCAAAACTAGTATGTTTTAAAAGGAAATATTAAGCGTCTTTGGTCATTTACTGCTACCAACCATATTCGGTAAATAAACTTTTTAGAAAATAATCCAAGTTTCATTTTGTTTTATGACTGGATTAAATACCCCCAGACCTGACTCTGCTAAATGTCCTGATCTGGTATCCAAAAATATAAGAATTTCGGTTATCGGCACTCATGTCGGGATATTTGAATGTCATGACATCGTTCTTTGGTAAAGTCTGGTGGAGGCCAAAGTTGTGAGCTCGAGTCAAACCAAGATGACATTCGACTCCAGAGCTTCTCGTGTTGCAAAAAAATAAAGTGGAAGCGTTTTTGCGCGGCATTATTTTATTTTCAGTCTTTTAGCAGATGTGGCAAATACTGGAGCAAACTTAAAACGACACAACATTCTTTCTAAATGGCTCTCACTCTATTGGCGATAATTTAAATCGGTTAATTAAAGAAGAACGTGAATGCAAAGTTGTCATAAAAGACATTTACATAAATTTCGTAGATGATATGCAAATGCACTGCAAGCATACATATTGCGAATTGTAAACACATAAAAGTTATTGATCATTAGAACTGTACTTGTTTTCAAAGGTTTAAAAGGGAATGGTGCAAACCAGTACAATATTTCTTGTATTGTTACCTTGAATTAATGATACAGTACATAACAAATAATACATTTTGAAATTAGAATTATACTTAATCTATACTGTTTAATTTCTATATTAAAATTCACTTGTGCCAAGTTGTGGGGAAACAGAAATAATTTGATCAGTAAATGTTTTTCTTACTGAATATTTTTTTTTAAATTCATACAATAAGTAACATTATATTTTTTATTATATGTAGTTTAATAATTCGATTCAATATGTACAGTTTTGTGTTTTATATAATGTGTATAGATTGGCATGTTGTAATTAAAGCTGAGCTATTTGTGAGATTAAACTTAAAGAAATTTAGGAAAGAGGCAGGCTTAGAAAAGGAGGGGGGTGCACTATAAAAAAAAATTACAAAAAAGTTAGTTGTGCTGAGTGAATGAATGAAATATGGTTTAATGGCACATCAATGATGTCTGTTGTCATTGTGATTTACACATTATTTTTAATTATAAATAATTTAAAGGGACAGGAGGGACTATCCCGATTTGAACAGAGTCTCAAAAACATATGAAATTTAAGCGCCAAAATATAGAGGAATGGTGTACATGTAATTACCTTGTCCCCAAATTTCAGCTCAAACGGCTTATCCGGACACCTAACCCTTTTAAGATTTTGGGTCAATTTTTTCGTTTGGTGACCTGATAATCTATTGAGGTTCCTTTAGAGTTTAGAGGTCTATAGAGTGCATGACCCACGTGCTGTATTTGATAACAAAAGGTAAATTTCACCTACACCTTATTTTTATAAAATAAAAGTCTAGTTTTAGCCAGACACTGTATAATAGTGTAATACAGCTTGAGCCACTGGTCTCCATTTCCAGATGAAGACTGGCAGGATTAAGTTGTTTGAAAATGTATCACATATGTTGAGTTAGTTGCTTGGTCCTAAGGTAGAGGATTTTAAGGGTTTTATACACATACATGGTTTGGTCAGTTACATACATGGCAGATTATTAATTGCACCATAATTTTGAAATGCACAAAAAATAGCTTTTGCGGGGTGCATTTATCTGTCTTTAGAGATTGTTGTGGACCCCCTTTAATATATTTATTCAAATAAAAGTTTGTAGGTATTAATTTCTCACCAGTTGAGTGGAACAAAAAAATTGGGGACAGAATGATTTTTATAATATCAATTTTGTAGAACAACTGATGATGAACCCCAAGGCCATACCAATTTAATATTCTGTTCTTCGGAAATCCCTTTTAAAATTTTGCTTCTTATTTCTTCAGGCAAAAAGACTAAATTAGAAACCAAAAGTATGTGGTTACACTTTCAAAATCTTTTAGTTCCAAATTGTTAAGTTTTGAAATTTTAAACAAAACATCTCTCACAGGATTAAAGTGGCTATTTATTTATCAAGTCACTGAAGAGCCAAAAATAAGGAATTTTTATGCTGCTGTTTCAACAAACTGCACTTGCTGATACAAGTGGCTGTAGGTCATGTCAATACATGTAAGTACCCAGTACCGGTAAGACACATTTGAGATGACAATCATTACAGAAACATCTTCTGGAGAATTGATTTCAGTTTCCCGCCCCACCCCACCCCTTTTCCAGTCTTATTAAAAAGATACAAAAACAACCAAAGGAATATTAAATATAACAATACTACATGTACTATTTTTCGTAGATTTGAGGCCAGTTTATTCGTGGGATGAATTAAAAAGAAAAGGAATTAGTTAATAGACAACTCCGTAATTCTTTTAGGCAATATGTGTCAGAAATAAAGTAAAAATGTTTGTATTAATTTCAATTAGTATTTACAGACAACAGAATATGGGTGAGGACTTAATCCATCTCTAGAATAACAATGGGGACAGGCTCCTTCGGGTCAGAAGTCCTAAACTAAACTGTTACTCATCTGTCTTCTATTTCCTATAGATATATCTACTGATAGTTGATGATACATTTGTAGTAAAGTATTATTATTGCCACAAGCTGTTTTCATATGATCTTTATTTATAATACAGATAAGGAGATTTACTTGTTTATGTTTCGACTCATAACCTTCTTAGGTACTACTCTATAATTTGCTTCACTTGATCTCTTTTAAGCCAATCATTTGAATAATGACTGTTTTATTTGGATAAAAGCCTAAGGCCTTTGAAAATAAGTTGTATTATTTCATATTTTGTCAAAGTGAGAACACTCCCCATAAATTTTATTAAGATGTGCAAATGTCAGAAAATACATAATAGACTAATGAAGATACAGTTAGGCTTATAAGTTATATGACAATGACATAAATGTTTCTGGTTATGTACAGGCTAAAACAAGATTGTAATTAATTAGTTGACAGAATACTGTAACTTATCATTACAGTATCTAGCACAGATACCGAAACAAAAGTTGTTTCCGATGTGTGCTTTTGGTGAAATGTATCATTTGGTATTTCTGATACTGACTAAAATAGAAAATGAAATTATATTATTATTTGATATCTTATATATACATGTATGCAAAAGCTTTTGAAAAAAAACTGCCATTAATTTGAGAAATTACGGTATTCAAATAGCATAACTTTGCACATTAATTAGACTGTGATACAGGGATAATTTTAAGTTACTTAAATGGATGTTAATAGGGTTAGGACAGTTATTGGGTTAAAAAACAAATGCCAGTTCCAATGAGGGCCACGACTTAATAGAATTTGTCAATAAATATGCCCACTTGTTTTTGTTCAGTGTACATGTATCAGTATGGTTCAGTTTATTGATACATTAACAATAAAATAATAAACATTTACATTTTAAATTACTGGTGTTTTAGTTTATTTGAAATGATGAAGCTGTTAGTTAATATCGATTAATGTTTTAATCAAGTTTTGGGAAATAATCTTTTGCATGACAAATTATGTTTGTGTGGATTGATATTAATAGCTTTCACAAAACTGCAGTAATGAAAAAAATGTAATTATTTATATTTAAAAAAAAAATTTTTTTTTCGAAAAATATGTGGCCAATAAAGTTAACAGAATTCTGCTAATCCAGATATTCAAAATCTGAACTAAAAAATCCCACCCGTAAATCTTAAGGGATCAGTTTGAATTATATTCATAAATTTAATGTTTTGTGAAAAGGATTTGGCGGTTTTCATAATGCAATACTGATTAAAGCTGAAATTAAATATTTGCTTATTTTGTGAAGATGAGCTCATATTGCTAAATGTTAATCATTGTAGTTCATATGATAATCTTTTGGTGATATTTTTTTACACAGATTCCATTTAATAAAAGCAGGTGGCTCTATTCAGAACTCAGAATACTTCTTATGTTTAAAGATTAAAGCTACTGATCGTCATTTGACTAATAGAAATGAGTGATTAACGTTGTTAAGCCAGATTTTTTAGATGAACTGAAGGGGATTTTTAAATAAAGCAGAATTAACTGAAAACCATAAGGTTGAACAGGCGACTGACCCGGCTTCTTGCCACGTACAAGCTTGTGATCGAAACAACACCACTTGACTCAATAACAGACCTTATGATCTAAAGCATGTGTGTTAGACCCTTCACCCACGCTTCCTTCCACAATGAATTACCCATTTTTATTTATTAAAAGAGATCCAGAATATTTCTTCGTTTAAACTTTTTGTGTCCCCCGCCTTTCGAAGAAAGCAGGGGACTATTAAAATGGGTTCGTCCGTCTGTCTGTCTGTCTGTCTGTCTGTCTGTCTGTCTGTCTGTCTGTCTGTCTGTCTGTCTGTCTGTCTGTCTGTCTGTCCGTCTGTCTGTCCGTCCGTCCGTCTGTCTGTCCGTCACACTTTTTGGGACACAATAACTCTCTTCCTAATTGAGCTAGAATGTTCAAACTTGGTGTATGTGTTTATTAGGTCAATGCCTTGATGGAGTTCGAAGATGAGCATTTTCCGCTTAGGGTAAGCAGAGATAAGCAATTTGATTGGTTGATGCTTTGGGACACGATAACTCTCTTCCTAATTGGGCTAGAATGTTCAAACTTGGTGTATGTGTTGATTAGGTCAATGCCTTGATGGAGTTCGAAGATGAGCATTTTCCGCTTAGGGTAAGCAGAGATAAGCAATTTGATTGGTTGATGCTTTGGGACACGATAACTTTTAATTGAGCTAGAATGTTCAAACTTGGTGTATGTGTTTAT